ATATCGAGAGGATCTGCGGATCGCGCTGCAGTGAAGCGGGTTGGCGGTGGAGAGGGGAGGGGGCGAGGGGGTGGAGGGGCGAGGAGGTGTTAGGGCGCAGGATTGCGGTGAGTGAGTTGGTGAAGGATGTGGGAGAAGTGGTTTGAGGTTGTGACTCTGCTGAGATGATGAGTGGATGCAGGCGGTCGGAAAGCGTGGAGGAGTTAGGAGTGGATTCGACGAGTGGTGTGACGGGGTGCGGTTGTCGTAGGGCAGTACGACGGTGAGGCAGAGAGGCCAAGGCGAGGCGGGAGGATGGTGTGCCGGGAGGATGTTGTGCCGGGAGGATGGTGTGCCGGGGGGGATGTTGTGCCGGGTGTGCATGTGACACGCCACACTTCGGAAGGGGAAGGCATTCGAAGGATGACCACCTGACACGCGTGCGCGTGGAAGTCGTGTGCACGTGGAACTCGATATCTGGGGCCACGTAATTAGTGGGCAGCATTACAGTAAATGTAGACGGCAAAGTGTACAGTAGAGGTGAAGGTATGATTTAAATGCGGGGATCATGCTGATCTCGTCTCCTGATCTCGTCTCCTGATCTCGTCTCCTGCTCTCTCGGTGTCTGTCTCCCGCGTGGTGAGGAATCCGGATTGGTGATCGGGATCTTTTGTTGCAATGAGGTGATTTTTCGTCGCGACCGCGAAAGGCGACCGGTCGGGACGTTTCCGGCGCGACAGCGGCGCTGCGGCGGCGGTCGCCTTTCACCCGCGCCTTGATCACATCTTGGTGGGACGGGATGCCGGGTGGTATGCCGGGTGGTATGCCGCGGCAATGCACGCGGGGCATGCCTGCTCACCTTGCGATTGGGCTGCGACATCCGCGGCCTTTTTTGGCGTTGCGTTTGAATTGAATGGGCTGAGTGCCGGAAAGCGACACAAGTTTAGCTTGCAGAGTTTCTGGTCGCGTCTCCTTTTTTACAACTTGTCACTCACGCGGGCATCTCTCTCGCCCGCCGGACAAGCGGTTACAGGCCTGGACGGACGGTACATACTGTAAAGAATGAGAAATAGTACAGTAGTACCGAGGCTGTGTTTGCAACGCAAGTATAAAATAAAATAAAAACGTTTGCGGTTTCGAGTTATGAAGGGTGGTAGGATACGGGCACATCCTTGATGGTGAGATGAGTGCACTTGGGTCCTTCATGCCGTTGGTGCATGCGCCATTGGCTCGTCCTCTACTGAGCCGTAATAATATCGTTTACACGAAAAAGAGTGATGAAAAAGAAGACCGAGTGAAGATGGAAGGAGATACGTTTAGTACAGTATCACTGGGATTTAAGAAACGGACGGGGGTGTTACAAGTGTAGTGGACGGCAAGCACCTATTGTGCGGCGCGTACGGGTTTGACGGAGATACGTTTGATATCAGTGGGATTAGGAAACGGACGGGGTGATAGCGGACGGGCAGCACCCATCTTGCGGCCCGTACGGTCCAGCGGGTGGTGCACGAGAGCACGGCACAGGCCCAAGCAAGGGATGTTTTTGACAGGCGACCGATAAAGACTCGTGGCAGAGGGTAGGGAGGGACATGGAGGGGAAGGGAAAACAACGGCAAAACACGAAGACGCGGAAAGCGAAAAATCACATCATGTTATCATACTTGATGGATGACATGGTGTCAAAACGTCACCGGGATCGCCCAACGGGACCGCCCCAGGGGCTAAAATAGCCGGAAATGCACCCAACTGACAGTGTCAACTATGGGGTGCGTAATGCCTTTATCCGCTTCTAGCGCCCATTCGCCTGCGCCGCGGGGTGCAATTCCATCCTTCCCTTCCCCCGCTTTTTTTTATTGCCCCGCTCGGGCGACGCGGAACTCGTAGGCATTCCCCCCAACTGTGGCACAGTAGCCGTGCAGCGAGGGAAAACGGTGCGGCGCGTCATGAAACTCCGCCTGTCGGCTGTCACAAATACGCATCCATCCCTCCTCCGCCCCCGTCTCACCTCCGCTCTTCACCCCACACCACTCTCCCCTTCTCCCCAACCGACCATCACAATATCCCTCACACGTCACTCCCTCCCCTCTCACTCCTCTCCTCTCCGCTCCCCTCACTCCTCTCCCCTCACTCCTCTCCCCTCACTCCTCTCCTCTCACCCCCTCCCCTCTCCTCTCCTCTCCCCATCCAATTGTTCTGCTCAAGCCCAGCCGTGCTGAAAACTGACAAAACCCCGCTTGCATTTCCCCCTTCAATTTCCTCTCCCACCTGCATTTCACTCTCCGCACTGCACTCCTCCGCTCTCGCCTCCCCGCTCTCTCATCATCGCTCTCTGCATTCACTCTCTTGTCTCTTTCATTCCCCTCACTCCACCCATCTTCCTTTTCATCTCATTTCGCCCTCTCCTTTCCACCATATAACACGCCCTCCGTTTCGACCCCGCTTATCTGCTCTGTCCATCTCTCACACTTTTGCTTTGACTTTCATCGAAACCGCACCCACACCCGCCCCACCCCCGCCTGTACCTCTCATTTCATACCATGACCACCAACACCACATCACATCACGTCTCACACCCAGTCACTCCTACATGGCTGGAGGATCCCGCCCTGCCCTCGCCCCCGGATCCCCTCAAGCAGACCAACACCTCCCCGACCGCACCCAACCACTCCATCGCCCCCTCCGACATTGCAAAGAACCCAAAGACCCCCTTTCAATCCCCCGCATCCATCCCGCTCCAGCCAAACCCCCAAGAACCACACGAACATGGCTCCTCCGTTTCCACCAGCTACAACAATCGCCCCTCTCCTTCCCCCCCGCTACTTTCTAACCATCTACAACCTTCTAACCCGTTCTCCCACCTCACCCCACCCTTACCCACTCATCCGCAGCCCTACCACGACCGCACCCCCACCGCTGCCCGTCTTCGAACCGCTCCAGATCCAAAGCAACCCTCCCGCACTGCTGCATTTCTCAATCCTGCAATATCCTCCGCCCTCCAACCGGAAACTCTACCACCGAGTCAGTTCTCGCACCACAATCAGACCCGCGAGTACCGCCCGAGCAATGCCGCCAATCGCTTCTCGAGTCTGCTCACCGTCAGCAACCAGGAGACCGCCCAGTATCCAAGAGTCATTCCGTCCCTCGCCCATCCCGCCCATTCTGAGCCGCTCCTACCCCCGATGCTCACAGCCTCCGCCGCTCCCGTTTCTACCTCGGTGCCTACCCACCACCACAAAGGCGATCCCGTCTCTTCCTATCCCGCCCTCCGGGACAATCACCCGCTCCATAACTTCAACTACACTTCCACAGCCCTCCGTCCGCACCCGTACGAGCCTTCACATCCTCAGGTTAAGTTGTTCGACGGCATGGCTCAGATACGGAAGCAGGACAAATATTTTCGGCATTCGCATGCCCAGGGCGACAGTTTGAAGCGGAAAATGAGCACCGCTTCTCATCAGAGGCACGGTCGGGTATATCCACAGTGGCAGGACCGTGTGCAGCATTCAAGCCTCTCGCATCCTGAAGTGAACGCAACGGCCAGTTACCCATCGCAGGTGATGAATTATCGCCAGCACTCAGTCAGACCCGGCCCTCCAGGCAACGAGCCAAGCCAATTTTTGGACCACGCGAGCGAGTTGGTCATGCCGTCTCGAGCAATTCCACATGAAAAAAGTCACGACAATCGCTCAGCTTCGATTCCTTTTATCGCAATGGAAGGGAGCTGGGACTCGATAGTCAATGCGGCCCAATCTTTGGAAGAAGATGGCAATTCGGTGGAGAGAGCGCGGTTCTTCGACACTTATGAGAGGCTTATCAAGGAGTACGAGGCGAGGTGTGCGGTGATTTACGACACGGCTGATTCTTCGTGTTCCACGCACATCATCAATAGCCGGATTCCGTACCTAGTAGACTCGATCACGGCCCCTGTCGAAGATGAAACACCGGAAGATGTGCAACAGAAATTGGTTGTGAAGCAGAAGTTTGTAGAAGCCATGGAGAAGCTTCAAGCCGATCAGATGCCCACTAAAAGAAGGGGAAATTTACCAAAAGAGAGCACAGCGTACTTGAAGAAATGGTTTGAGAACCACTACGACCACCCATGTAAGTTTTGCAAAAAATCACGCGCATCGTGCAGCGCAGTTATCGGTTGAATTTCTCGTCACTCTACACCATTTTCTAACCTTCTTTGCGTCTGCACGTCTTCTTGCCTCTTTTGTGTTGGGCTATTTGCTAGATCCTTCGGACGAGGAAAAGCTGGATATGAGCAAAATCACGAACATTGGTGTCCAACAGATATCGCATTGGTACGTAGATTATTTGCTCATCATTCTCGCCTTGACCGCGCCGATCATCTTCTCATATGTATTCCCCAAGAAACAGCATGCATGCTATATATTGGAGACTAAACATGAGATGGTGCCCGCATGCGGAAGATATGCTTACACAAATACTGACTCATCTTGCCCCACTTTCATTTTTGGTATTGACTAGGTTCATCAATTATCGCAAGCGAGTTTGGAAACCAAGCTTGCCGCCTACGCATCCCGTGCACATGGGAGAGTGCAGCAAACGGCCAAAGAAGCAGATGAGAAAAGAATAGGATATGGCATTTTGGTCATATAACGCGCCTATCCGTAACTGCACTTAACTGTTTGACAACTTTTTGTTCTTGGCTTCTATTCTGTCCGCCACCCGTGGTTGCTTATTCTTGCAAAGATCGCTATTCTTCTGTTTTTTAAATAAACTACAGTAGTATTACAAGCGTCCGTATTTTCGTGAAATATCGGCAACCGAGGCGATGCAAATTTGTGTAGGAAAAGGCCTGCCAAACCATGTCTTGTGGTGGGAACACAGAGGACAAACGATTCCGAGCGAAGAGTTTCGGAATGATTTGAAGTTCTCTTCAAGCTCGTCCGGAACTGAAGAATGGAATTATAAATTCAGAACGCTGGCACATACGACGAAGAGAGATATTCATTTCCGCGACCTCCCGTTTCTAGGCGGACGAACATTTATAACTGCGTGATAAAAGTATGCAAAGGGCTACAAGATGAAGGCGGAAATAGATCCACATACAGCAACAATTGTTATACGTCAAAAACATAAATGTGAAAGCAGTGCACCATGCCACGAAAGCAGCTGATTGCGATGGTAACAACCAAACTTTCTCCTGTCACAACTATATTTATGAAAAAGAGGTGTATTATGAGAGGTTCTGTGTGTCAAGAGACACAGTGACCGTGCATTTTACGGGAATAGGTCGGAGCGACATTCATCCGCTGCTGGAGAAATAAACGCGAGCTTCATTTGACGCTAGACTTTGAAGGCTATACGATACAATTTATTCGATAGAATAATACGACGAAGTAGTGTTCGGGCAGTGAAGCGGTGATCAGAGTAGAGTGGTACCCTTTCGAAGGGTACAGATACCCTCTCAATAAAGTCGACCATTCAAGGGTACAGTGTTGAAAGGAGACACAAGGGAAGCGACCCTTGGCGAGTACGTGCAGTACCAAGGGTACTGTATGCTCAAGAGCAATTGGGGGATCACAAAAGTTGTGTTTTTTTAAAACAGCCTTAAAAGGCATGCCGTATGGCACGAGGTTGCAGAGCAGACCGGTTTTGACCCTGCGGGCCTTGGCGGACCACAAGGCTTTTGTTGGCATGAATGCAGGCCGGCCACTGATCGCCGCTGCCACTTGATCATCGGGCATGTCTGCAACGGGTAATGTTACAGAAACTGCACATGATGCTGTACGGTGCCATGATACCTGTATTTGTTGCAATGGTGAAGTGAGTACAGTACAAGTACAGTAAGGGTACAGAGGCTGCATGCGTAGGTAGGGGAGGGAAAAAATGGGGATTTAGAAAAATGCAAGGGCAAGATAAATGGTACCCTTGAAGGGTAGCGAATCGCCGCGCCCCCTCTCCATTTTTTATTCGTCTTTTTACCCCATCCTCTTACAGTACACAAAGAAAAAGGCAGCCTCCACTCGAGGGTACAACTGCATTTGGTGGGAGATTTCACACGTGTGCACGTGGTACGCATACTGAACTGACAAACGGTTTGGCTATCTAAGGGCTACTGCCTAGGGTTTGTCCTGGTACAGTACAAGGGGGTACCCCTATGTTTGGGACAAAACCCTGTTACAGGGACAAACAAAAAATGTCAAATTTTAATCAAATTAAAGATCAAGGTTTAGATAAGACGCCCTAGTGGTCATTCCAAGCAATATATCTTCGCCACTGAGCACTCTGCTGCCAATGAGGAACTGCCATCTCCTATGCCCGAAAAAATCAACCAGGGAGAACCCGCCGGAATAGTGTCAGAAACCCGCCTTTTCGCCTCTTCCATAAGTCGTATGGAGCAACCTTATTGTTCTCATCGCTCACACTACCCTTGGGAGCCCCTGCTGATGCTGAGCGATTTTCGCGCCGTGATTTGCATCAAAAAAATATGGGTGAAACCAGATTTCATGAGGAATTTGTCCCGATTCAAGGGGTATTTTCCCCAAAAAGGAGTCTTTCTGAACCGTTCGTCAAATGAATCCCCTAAAATGACGCCAGTTCTTTGTCCCCTTTCTGGGGTTTGGCAAGATTGCCTTGGATATGCCGCAGACAATGACGTAGAAACCGTAAACAACAGGTTACGGGAAGTAATTTTTTCTTTAAAAACGCCGTACTGTCCCAAACAGAGGGGTACCCCCTTGTACATGTACGGTGCTGCATCGAGCGACTCATCGGGGGATCAGAGATACCCGGTAAACTTTGCTTTATAATGAAAATAAACTTTACGTTGTTTTGGGCACGGCCTTTGAGCCGCCCTTAATCTCGCCACTGTCTGCCGTGCCAGGGCCGGGCCGTACACCGCCGTACACGTGGCCATCCGTGTGATAGTTTTCGCCGCCGCTGGTTGGCCTGCGCCCAGCCTGCGCCGAGCCTTGAAGGGTAGCGCCTCGCAAATCGCGATGGAGCCCCCTCCGATCGCGACTCGACGGGCGACTCGCCCGGGGGCACGCGTTTCCGGGCCGCAGCCGCCACTGGAGATGCACGCCGAGATTTATGCTCCCTTTTAGCGGTATCATAGTAGCCCTTTTAATGTTATGCCCCGCTTCCGCCTAACACGTCTCCATGCCTGCTCCTTCCATCCGCACAAACCAATCCCCCTTCGCGTCCCGCCTCCACCCGCCGCCACCGCCCCCCCACGTCCCACGGTACCGCCCTCCGAACCCGCGGCCCTCCGAACCCGCGGCCCTTCGCCTGCTCCTCGCCCGCGCGCCCGCGCGACCCGTCCGGCGCGAGCTCCCCGCCCGCAATGACCGCCGCCCCGCGCGCGTGCAC